ACCCAGACTCTGCAGGCACATCCTACAGTTCACAAATCCGGGGGAGATGGAGGTTGGTGAGAGACCATGCTCAGCCCAGGCTGTCAGACACAGCTCCGCTGTGCTGTCACAGTCACTCCTGTCACGTCAAAATCCCAGACTTCTATTCCACAGTGATAGCTACAACAGAGAGGTCAAGTTCTTTTCCCCTTAGATTTGAAACCCGTCTCAGTTTGTGTTCAAAAACAGCTTTTACCCATCAAACCCAAAGCTACTTCATACTGTATTCTAAAACACCCCACTCCCAGACCCAGCCAGAATTACTGACCCAGCTCAGGGCAACTGCTGCAACCCTTCTCGGACAAAGCTCTTACCTAGGAGACCAAGTGGAAGGTCTTGCCTAAAGGGGAAATAAAGAGCGACAGAGCAGCTTTGCTGTCACAGGTGTGTCTAAAAGTAAGCAGCAATATTCACTACAAACAACCTACTTTCATACACAAATGTATATCCAGAGAAGTTGGCTCCCAGATCCTCTGGAAGCCAAAATGCATAACATGTTATTAAATACAACACTTCAGCAAGGAGAAGACTTCTAAACAAGGAAGACCAAGGCATAGCTAATTACTTGGGAATCCAATGCAGAGAAAGCACATTTTGCTGCTTGTATCCGAGGATTTATTAAAAATATATTTTCAATATAAAAAGTATAAAATAATTACTACTTTGGCTTGGGAAAAAACCCAAAAACAACAGCAGTGGTTCTGATTTTCAAGCAAAAAAAATTATCCAGTGATGATTTCCATCTAGTTCCTTCTTTTTAAAAAGATTCCTAAATGAGAAACAGGCGAATCTGTCTCTCCAGATAATATGTGCCAGCTCATGAGAACTTCACAAAGTTATTGCTTTTATTTTCTTCCACAGAAGAGTTGAGTCTCAGTCCTACTCATGTGCCCACACCACATCACAGTAAGACTAGTCCTGGGTGCTCAGCAAGTTTCAAACTGTGTAAGTGCCTGGGGAAAAAGGTGCTGGAGAAATCAGGAAAGTAATGATTACTTGGCAGCAAAACATAGTGGGGAAAGTGGTGGGAAAGCTTTCCCTCCTGCCATCTGTCTGGCTTTCCAGGGAGAGCCACTCTAGCACCGAGACCAAGTGCTAATTGCTGCATGTCCCAAGTAATTTGTATCATGCCATGCAATATGGATTGGACAAGCAGTATCTTCTAGTAAATGCCAACATCAAATAAACAGAGGGAAAAAACCAACTTCTCTATCCATCCCTAACAAACACCCAGATGTACAGTGTTACTTCCCATATATTTATAGAGCCACCACACAGCACTAATGAGAAACGAGCCAGACAGAGTTCACAAGAGGAGAGCTGCACACACAGTGCAGCCACACCCCACCATCCATCCCTCCAGACAGCAACAGTGCTGCGAAAGGAACAGCTTGCCCCTTTCTAAAGGGTTAAAACAACATTTATAATCTTTATATTAAACAGCAGTTCGACCAGTTCACCCACCGCGGGGTCAACATAAGGCAGAACAGAACAGAGGGTTTATTTTAAGTACAGGTTTATGCAAAGTTGGTAACAGCTGAGGAGACAGCGTCACCTCTGTGATCCAGCTGGTCCTGGAGCCGTGCAAACTCTGCAAGTTCATTCAGCTCCTGGAACTGCCTGTCTGTTTTATGGCTCACCAGTGACCGGTAGAAGTGCACTGCAAACACAATGAAAATCAATCCAAAGGGCACCATAATGGACGTGGACGCAATGGCTGCTGCCTGTCCTGATGTCATGGTAGAGCTGCTGTTCTGGGGGCTATTATCATTTTTCTTCTCCAAAGGAAGAAACTTCACCCAGCACAGTAACACCACCTCTGCAAGAAAGAGCAGAGTCCCAATGACAGTGGAAAAGGCCCAGGCAAGCTCGATGTGCCGATGCATGCGCTCGTGGGGAGATTCCTTGACAGAGTTGAGATTATGCACATTGCTAACAGCCTCTATATTCGGGAGAATGCAGGTACTTATCATGAGTGCAAAAAGGTGAACTGCAACGAGCACAGTAGTGCAGGCACTGAAGGCTATCAAGAGCCCTGGAGGATACTCGTGTCCTGCGTCGAGCTGAACTTCAACCATAGCCACCTGGAAAGGAAGGGGGAGAGAGAGAGAGAGAGAGGCAGTTACCTACCTTACATATTATTTGACTATAGATCATTTAAAGTTTAAACCACATTTCCAGGAAATCATCTGATCCAAACAAAATAAGTCTGCATTTACATTTCTCTTTATGTCAGTCTGCACCCTTTTCATTAGACCCAAACTTAGATCTGAGCTATCAAGCAAAAGTAACTTTTCATACTTACTGCTCTGTTGTGAGCAAACCTCAGTATGCACAAAAGCTGTTCATGAACCACCACTCTGCCACCTCCCGCTCATGCCAGCAAAACAGCTGAACTTGGTGAACAACATACTCCTTAAGTGAAACATGTCTTCTTTCATGTTACAGCATTGAGGCAACATTTGATCTTTCACTCCATCCTGGGTACTAGGAAATGTTTTGTGTCCCACACAACATGGGGCACTGTAGAAAGTCTTTTGCAGTATCTATAACAGCTGCAAAAGCAGCAAGAACATTCTAACCTCACTATTTTGCAGGAGCTTGGCTAAGCTACACCTAGTGCTGGATCCCACCTCCTTACACATGTCCCAGGACACCAGAACTCTTAATCACTAATGCACCAAAGATATTAAGTCAACCAAGGGTTTTGCTCAGACATGTTTCAACAGGCATTCAAGGCCGTTTGCCAGTCTTTTAATTCCTTTACTGAAAGCTTTCATAGTCATAAGCCTAACCTCCCAGCCAACCAGCAAGCAGTTTCCAAGAAACTCAGCATTATATGTATGCATATACAATTCTTGCTCAAGGCTTTAAAAATACTCTTTTTCACCCATGAGAGGACAAACATCTGGTTGTCAGGTCTCTTTTGCAGATTGCTTGTTAAGTTCTAAAGTGCTCGTGGGACGTTGGGCTTCCTGTGCTTTTCACAGGACAATTGCAATCCTTCACCACTGAGGATTCATTTTCATACTTAAAGATAAGCCTTCTGGTGTGTCTGGACCCAAAGCCATCCAGCATGGCAAGACACTCGAATCCTTTATCCTAGCACTTGGTATGTTAACATAACCGTGACACTAAAGAGCTTCATAAGATGAAGAATTTTCTTTTAAGAACTGACGTATTTAATTCACCAGACATCGAAGACATTTTATATTTCCACTGATCAATGCCTCCATGTAATAATGATACAAAACACCTGATTTTGGACTCTGTGTGTTCACCTCTGGCACAGCAACCCGAGCTTGACCCGTAAGTGAAAAATCAGTTCGTGTTTTCTGTCTCCTCAAACACTCAAGGAAGCTAATTTGGGAGCCCTTTCAGTATCAACTGGCAGAAAAACTGCCAGCTCTTTTCAGTTGCAAGTTTACTTCCTGTGCCAAGCTTGAGCCAGGCACCTAAAACAAAAAGCTCCATTTTTCATCCTGAGGCCCTGTGCCTGTTTTCTAACAGTGATGCAAAGCGTCACAAGTTCTTCCCAACTTTGCTCATGCTGCAGCTTCAAAATGAACACATCACAACCACTCCTGTAAGGTCACGCTTGTGAAAGCAGAGCCCAGTGAGGTCACCTGATCCAATCCAAACCCAAACAAAGCCTGACAGGTACACACCGACGTTCTAGGGAGGAGAGTTTCCTGTTCTACACTGGCTCAGAAGATCTGCTCAGGGCAGGAACTGACGTTGGTGGCTGCACAGTTTCCAACACAACATGTTCAGCACCTTTACCACTTTCAAGGCTTCTCTCAACACTCGCCCCATGATTTCTACCCTGCAGCTGGCATGCTGCAAGCACCCTGCCTTGCTGAGTAATCACAGTGTAATGTAGCTTAAAGACACCTCAGGAGGTCATTGGTCTAATCTCCAGTTCAAAGAGCTAACTTTAACTTCAGGTCATCCCACAGATATGACTGACAGATTTACTACAGCTCTTGACAAAGCTGTAAATCTGAAATACATCTTCTTGACAAAATTCAAGGACTCCCATGACGTTAAGACACAAGACTCTCGCAAACCTAAAAATAGTGCCATTGAGACGTTCTCAGAAGATCACTGAATTTGGGCACACAACCACGTGAAGCCTTCAACATCCTGGATTTCAGTTATGGCAGCCTCATTACTACCACATTGCAAGAAATTCAACAACTTGCCTCTAGAAGAATCTACATTTCAACTTTATTTTTAAAGTTTATTTCTGACCAAGTTAATTTCACTTACTTATAATGCTCCTATTAGACCAGAGGGGCTTAAGTAAAGCTCCCGCTTTTAATGAAAATCACAGGCTTACATCTTTCTCAGAATCAGTGGCCAGGGCTGTAAAAAAAAGGATATAAAATGCCTTACCTCAAATAAATTTGTATTCTCTATGAGCTATTCACAGATGACTTCCTCTCCTGCCCTTCCCTGCAGAGATCCCTCTGAGCTCAGGTCGGTGGGAACACAGCCCTGTGTCTCCCAGTGTCAAACACCAGTGCTGACATACAGCCCCAGGCCATGGCTGAGTTTGGTGTGGGCAGAGACCACTCTCATCCTGACAGATGATCCAAACCCCTGCTGCTAACCACAGTCCTGAAAAACAGACCTGGACACTTCTCCACAGGACACCCAACATTCTGTAACCAGGTTGTTCTCAACCCCTCCTGGCCACAGCTCCCGTTCTGAAACAGGAAACTGATTAAGAGGACAAAACAGCTTTTATACAGTTGAGCACATCAGGAATGGCTTAAAAGAAGTTGTGCTGATCAGACAGCATGATTGCATTTTACAAGGATCCATCCATCTTCTACCTCACTGTTTGTCTGTGTGTGGGGCCACAGAGGAAAGGCAAGAATGAGACTGGTGTCACTCACAGTATCACTAGAAATCCACTCTCCTCAGCTGCCTGTTTTCCTGACAGCACTGCTCACTCCAGAGACAGAGGCACAGAGCCAGGCTCTCACAGACTGTCTGCACCATTCATTAAGAGTTATAAACAACTCATAGAGGGACTTCTGTATGAGCCAGAATAAGTCACTGCAAATTAAAAACAGATAAGTCAAAATAACGATCTTATTACTTGTTTTATACAGAAGGGAAACTAAGCATCATTCATCCACTGATCCAGGATCCTCCACTGTGCAGATTACTGTATGCTGCAGAATGGCAAAACACATTAATAGCTGCTGACACTAACACTGGAATGCAAACACAGGCTTCATTTTATTGTGCTAGCTAACATGAAAAGGAAATACCCACGTGACTGGAGCAAATGCATCTTGAGGAAGCAGGATCTCTGCACAGCATAATTTAGAGTACATCTGTTCAGTAAGTACAAGTTCAGATTAGCCAACAGCTCAGGATCACCCTTACATCCTCACAGCTGCCCTAGAACAGAATGACAAGAGCCCCAAGTGCCCCCCACTGCCAGCCTTGCTCATCTAGAACCTCAGGACAGGCACGTTCAAGGGAGCAACCAAGCATTGCTTTTGTGCCTGGAATAGAAGAAACTTTCAGCTCTAAACTCTAAGTGCAGTAGTGATGTAAAAGCTAAGTGGCAGCAGAATCCATGAAACTGGGAACTGGGCCTGTAACACCTCCCTGCAGGTTACAAAACACCACTTGCATGATTTTCTACCAGCAACCCACTTAAATACAACTAAAACACTTCTGTAGAGACCATTTTAGCATTTAGAACTGAAGTGACCTGTACTAGACAAGGCCTGTGCTGTCCTGAGCACCTGTACAGGGCCCTGGTCCTACCTAGCATTACCTCACCGGTTACTATGGAAATCAGGGTCATGAATATTCATCACTGCAGTCAGTCTTGTCAGAAGAAGACTGAAGCTGTCTTCAGGAGACCATGCTGGCTGTATTTCACAGGCAAGAGTTGACAGTTCTTTGATGATATTCAATATTTGAAGTATATATATTCCCATCTAGACAAAGCTCAGACAGCTTGGAGCAGTAGAGGTGTTCAGAGGAAAACTGTGCTGCCTGGTAAATACCATCCTCCAAATCCTGTGCACAACAAAGCCAACCACAGTGTATAATTCAGACCCTCAGTTTCAGCTCTGCTGTTTCACAAAGCTGTTAATTAGTGGCAGGAGGTGACACTGAGTTTTCCAGTTTGATGACTATTGGCATCTAACAACTTCCCTGTGATTTCTGCCTCCCATATCATGACATTGACATACTCCTGTGTGATGCATTCCTCATGACAGAGTGATGCCAACAAGTCAGATTAGCTGTTCAAATAGAAAATAACCTGCCAGCAGCCTGTCTGCTCTGGGGCTCTTGGTTCTGCTGCTGTAGGTGAGGATGAGACACTGCTTGCAGTGTTGGATATAATCTGCAAAATATTTCCAGCATTCAAGTAAACGGGATGGAGAAATAAAAACTGACAAATCCAGGCATGAGAGGGGAAAAGATCACACAGCAGCATCTGGAATATAACACAGAACTGAGAAATACCTGACGCCTGGAAGGAATCCTCCATTCTTTCATGGACCACACACCCTACAGTCTAGTTTCTTTCTTTACCTCTAACAAATTTGGGCCTTAACATGACTTGCTGGCCCCATAAACTAGAAAATTGTACTCAGTGAAGGTTATAAGCTTTATAGATTTCCTCTCAGGCATATGGAAGTGGATGATAGCATCCATGGAAACCTGCACAAAGGAACTGCTCGGGTTTACTGCCGGGAGCTCAGCTCCTGCATCAGTTGCTGTCACCAGACTGCAACTGTTTCTGAGGCTCAGGGCAGCAAATCCTGGTGGGTATCTGTGGAGCAAAACTAACTGTCACACCGGTTTTTAATCTCCTCTGAGGAAATACTTCAGGGTTTGAAAGCCGGCTGAGCGTTTCGTACTCCACACCGCTGACCTGGGCAATCTCTACACTTTGGCACGCATCATTTCACCAGGGCATGTGTAACCAATCCTGAGGGAATAAACTTTGCAAAGCCACTGCAGTTACACACAAAAGCAGTCCAGAAGAGGGGAACATTCAGCAGGGACAAACTTAGCTCATCCTGGAGGACGCGAGCAC